AAGTAAGAGCGACAACACGCTATCAAGATAGTTCAAGTGTTTATCCCTGAGCTACCTTGGTGTACACAGACAAGGCGTCGCCAGCTCGAGAGCAATAGTACCCGAGGAAGGCGCGGATCACCGGTTCGTGTTGGATAGCTGGTGTTGGCTAGTTGGATGTTGGATATATGGATCGTTGGATAGATGGATGGTTGGATAGTTGGGTCGTTGGGTGCGCGTGTGGGCTTGCCAGCTCATTGGTTGATAGTCCGGATACGGCCGGCCTGGCTTTCGCGTTTCCGGACGTCATCATCCTCGAAGTTCGTCGTCGGCAGCATGCGCGGGACCAAGTACCAGACGATCGAGGACCGGCGGGTCCGGGACGCGGAGATCGTGCACCCGGTGGCGGGCGCGTCAGCCTTCTCGCTCGTCTTCTTCCGCTGGGCCAACCCGCTCATGGACCGCAGCCAAGAGACCCCGCTCGAGGCGCCGGACCTCTGGCCCCTCGCCCGCGACAACCAGTGCAAGCACGTGAGCGCCAAGTTTGAGGCCAAGTTCCGCCAGACCAAGAGCTTTGTCACGACGTTCCTCTCGATCTTTGGCTGGCGCTTCCTCTTCATCGGCGTCCTGCAGTTCCTTACCGTCGCCGCAACGCTCTACGGCCCCTACGTGCTCTATCTCGTCGTTGGCGCCATCGAAACGAAGGCGAATGAGTCGGCGCCGTACCTCTGCGCGCTCGTCTTCTCGCTCTTCGTGGTCAAGGCGGCGCAGGCTTTTCTCTCGACGCACACAGCCTTCCAGAACGAAGCCATCGTGCTCCGGTTCACGTCGGCGGTCCAGCAGCTCGTGTTCCAGAAGGCGCTGCTTCTTGATGCGAAAGCGCAGAAGGAGAAGACGCCATCCGACGTCACCAACCTCTTTACGTCCGACATCATGTGGATCATCAGCGCTGCGTACTACACGCACCAGGCGTGGATCATCCCGACGCAGCTCGGCGCGATCCTCTACTTTCTCTACCACCTTCTCGGGTACGCATCGTTGATCGGCGCCGTCATCATCATCCTCACGCTCGGCCTCAACAACGTCCTCGTCTCGTGGCAGCGGCGCATCTGGAAGCGCTTCATGCATTTCAAGGCGGTCCGCGCACGTGCGGTCCTCGCGTACTTTGCGCCGCCGCCGCCGCCGATGCCCCGCACGCCCAAGACAATCGAGTCGGACTCGGAGAAGGAGGCGTCGGTCAAGGACGACACGGCCACGGAGCACAGCTCGTCGAGCAAGGATATACTCAAGGACGACGAAGGGTCGGCGGCGGCTGTCGAGGCTGCGCGGTCGGCCGAGCTCTCGCAGCTCGGTCGCGCTTTCTCGGTGGCAGCGGGTGTGACCGCTCTTCTTTACTCGGCGCCCGTCCTTGTGACGACCGCGTCGCTTGCGTTCTACACCCTTGTCCAGCACGAGAGCGTGACCGCCGCCAAGGTCTTTACGGCGCTCGCACTCTTCCGGTCGCTGCGCGGCCCGCTCATTGGGCTGCCGCAGATCGTCGGCAACATCATGCAGGCCATCATCGCGCACCGTCGGCTCATGGCGTTCATGGGCATGAGCGAGAAGAACCCAAAGGCCGTCACGTCGCCCAACGACCTGAGCGCGTCGCAGTACCGCAACTTTGCGTCCAACCAGATCGACATTGCGATCGAGCACGGGTCCTTTGGGTGGGACGCCGACAAGCCCGTGTTTGCGTCGCTGAACCTCAGCGTCAAGCGCGGCGAGACGATCGTTTTGCATGGCGCGGTCGGCCAAGGCAAGTCGTCGCTCTGCTCGGCGCTGCTCGGCGAACTCGACTTGTACGAAGGCTTCGTGTTTGTCGGTGGCCGCGTCGCCTACTGCCCGCAAACGCCATGGCTTGTCCACGCCTCGATCCAGGACAACATCCTCTTTGGCAAGCCGTTCGACCACAAGCGGTACAGTATGGTGCTGGACGCGTGCCATCTGCGCGACGACATTCGCCCGTTGCGCCTCGGTGATAAGACGGTCGCGACCACCCACGGGCTCTCGCCGTCCTTCCAGGCCAAGATTGCGCTCGCCCGCGCGTGCTACAACGACGCCGACATTTACCTCTTGGACATGAACGCATACATGGACGTCCAGCTCTTCCAGTCGGTCGTGCTTGGTCTCCTCCGCTACAAGACGGTGGTCCTTGTGTCCTTGCACCCGGACATTGTCCGTAGCAAGTCGATCAACCGCGCGCTCGAGCTCGTCGATCGCGACCTTGTCACGACGCTGGAGAACCCGCACTTGGCCAAGGTCGCGGCCATGGCGCTGCCGGCGCTCCCCGCGCGCAAAGGCTTTTGGGACGAGCACCACGCGGCGCTTGAGGCCGACACGTCGTCGCTCACGAGCGGCTTTGAGGCGCCGGATACGCTCATGTCGCCGTCGCTCCGGTCGCCGTACGGCTTCTTGTCCGAGGAGCACAGCTACACAATGGACGAGAACGCACACCCGACGCTGCTCTCGTCGAATAAGGAGACGCCGCGCATTGGGACAGCGACGTACCTCGCGTATCTCTCGGCCGCGGGGTGGCTCCTCGTGCTCTTCCTCTTGGTCGTGCAGGCGCTGTGGCAGAGTCTCCAGGTTGCGAGCGATCTCTGGCTCGGCCATTGGTGCAGCCTCCAGCCGCTCATCAACGCCAACAGCTTTCTGGACCCGAGTTCGCACAATGCGACGACGCGCAATGAGACCACGATTGTGTTCCCGGGCCACGACATGGACGTCCCGTTGGCGCGGCAGTCGGCGACGGCGTTTGCGACCTACCATATGCAAGTATACGCGATCCTCGCCGGCGCAAGCGTGCTCATGGTCGTCTTCCGGACGCTGGCTACCTCCTGCGCGGGCCTCCGCGCGTCCCGGGGCTTGTTTCACGGGCTCAAGACCGCGACGCTCGTGCCCTCGGCCATGCCGCCCGTCTCGAGCGAGCTCCTCAGCGTCTACAACAGCGACATGGTGACGCTCGACACCAAGCTGCCGTTCGCGGCCGGCGCGTTCCTCGCCAACGTCTTCATCGCTGCGTTCGCCCTCGGCACGTCCATGTGGTTTCTCAAGTCGTCGGCGCTGCCGATGGGTCTCGTGCTCTACGGCTACTACTACGTCAGCGCCTACTACGTCAAGCCCCTTCAGGACATTGACCGTCTCTCGCGCACGACCCGGGGCCCCCATCTGCACTTTGTGACGGAAGCGATCACTGGCGCCGTCGTCGTGCGCGCGTTTGGGCCCAAGCAGACGCGGCGCTTCCACCGCCTCCACATGACGCACGTCAACGCGCACCAAGAGGCGAGCTACGTGCACGAGACTCTTCTGCAGTGGTTTTCCCTGCGCATGCAACTGCTGCACGCGCTCTTGATGCTCATGATGCTCGTCGCTCTCGTCTCGCTGCGCCACGCGCTCTCGCCCGGCATCATTGGCCTTATCTTCAACTATGCGCTCCTCGTGCCGCCCCACGTCGAGTTCATTGTCAACGTCTGGTCCAGTCTTGCTGCCGCCATGGGCAGCGTCGCGCACGTCTTGACAGCGACGGACCCGACTGCCCGCGTGTAGATAGAGACACAAACGAGTTCTATAACCCGTAACATCTTGGCTGCATCCTAGTAGACGCTTGTAGTTAAAGGTTTGGCCACGAGAATGGCGCCGTTCTTTTGATTGGCAATGGGCGTTTCCTTGGTCCGGATAATGCGCTGCGCACAGGCTGCCAGCTCATAGTTGTCCGGATATGGAATTCGAATCCAACGGCGACGTGGTGCCATACTCGAACAAGTCATGGAAGGCATGGAAGAGACTTCGCTGATTGCCTGCTTCCACCCTTGAAGGGGTTTTGATGGCAAGATTATCCGGATAAAATACGTGGCAGCACGTACGCAGTTTCTCTGAGGCATTCACCGAGTCGAATGGGCAAATCTCGCTGTCACTGGGATCTTGGCTTGGCGCCATGTCATACGACTACACTCTGTAGTCGTATGAGCACTTGAGGCGCTCTTCTGTGATTGATCGCAAGCGCGTCTGTTGGCCAAGAAAGCACCGTTGCAGCAGGACCTCGTCTCGTCGAACATGGGGCTTGTAGTGACATGCGCCATCGTCCAGTTGGCAACGGGCGTTTACATATCCGGATAAACGCAGAATCCTCCGGATATGAAAATCGAATCCAACCGGCTCAAACGTGGCATTCTCCAAGAAGCCATGACGGTGACAGACGACGTCCAGAAGGCGCGGAAGCGCATTCACAACAAGAAATACCGCGCTGCGAATCGGGAGAAGATTGCGGTCAAGGGCAAGGCCTACTACGCTGCCAACGCAGACAAAGAGCGGGCCCGGAAGAAAACGTACCACGCTGCCAACAAGGAGAAGCTTGCGGTTGTCTCATGTTTCTTCCGACTTGTCGGGCGCGAAAGAAGGCGATTGCAGCCGGCAAGATTCCACCGCCGCTGCCCAAGCTCGCCGACCTTCGAGCGCAACACGAAGCCTCTGGCAACGTCGCTCCTGCAACGTCGACGGATGCAGCCCCAGAACTCACTGAAGAAGACCCGCACCCGTTGGCCGCGACCACCAAGAAGGTCGCGGCCAAGTGGTCGCAGCACGGCTCGGGTCCACGCTTGCGCAGGTTGAAAGGTTTCTCGTTGGTGAAGGTGACCATGACGACCTTGTTGGTGGTCGTCATGGTCACGTTCACGAACGAGCATCCTTTCAACCTGCGCCTGAGCTTTTTATCTCTTTCTATTTTGCCTAATGAAGTGTGCTGAAGTTGTCTTCTTCTTTCAAGACATTCTGTGAACACTCCAAGGCGCTGCAGACCATCGACCTAGGTCCTTGGCATCACCAGAACGCTTAACTACAGCCAAGTGATGCCCAATACCTCTGCTGGCTACGAGACTATCGCTTGCCGACGACCGAAGCTCTCGGTGTTGTCTGGCCTTTCCGCTTGCCGGTGGTTGCAACGACTGGGCTGAAATTACTAAGTAGTCCCGAAATACTTGGCTCCGTGGCATGGACGGGCCGACGCTGCTCGCCTCCGACGCCCGTGAAGAGCTCGAAGAGGCCGCGCCGTCGCCGCTGCGCACCAAGGCCATGAGTCTCGCCGTTGGTGCGATTGGCCTCGGTAAGTTGCATGTACAACCGAGGGAGCAACAGCTGTCGGGCCGACTGCGTACTAGCTCTGGATCTGGTACCACAAGGCCAATGCGTCGGCGCCAGAGACATCGCCGCTTCTCGGGTACGCGTCCTCCCATCTTCTCGTCGGTTTTACCATTGCGCAGATCCCGCTTGACGGACGCCACAGGCCGCAATGTGGCGCGCCGCCTGCGCGCGTTGGTCCCTTCATTCCTGCGTGGGTTCGTCCAACCTGTCCGATGCTGATAGTACGAATATTGTCTTGTGCTAGGGAGACCGCATGTGGCAACTCCCAATCCCACTCCTCTTTATGGAGATTTCCAAGGACACACTGCTCCCAAGTGCGCTCTTTGCGTTCTGTGGACGCTACTACACTGCTATCGCCCGTCAGGAAGACGAGGTATCCGACGTTGACTACGTTGTGGGACTGGTGACGCTGCCCCGCATCGGTCGCTGGCTCGAGGCGACCAACCGCTTGTCCGTGCTCGCACTCTGGATCGCGATTGAGAACGCGCGTTATCCTCAGCACTGCGTCCCTCGCCTCGCTCCTCCTTGTCTCGTACGCGCAAACTACAGTCGTCTGAGGCTATGGTTTTGCGTCTACAATGTAGCACTGCCGCCAATAACCTCTTGGCGATGCTGGCGGATGCCATCGGGCAGGTCTTGGACGCCGCACAAGCCTTGGCGGTCGAGAAGGACTGGGTCGTCGTCGCGGAACACAACCTTGCGTCGCATCGACCTTACGTGTGCGATGTTGGCGCCAGCAGTCGTTGGCATCCTTCTCGACAGTAGCAGCGCCGACTTTGCGACACGAGTTGCCTCGTCGGCGCGGCCGCTGTCGGTACCACGCCACTGGAGTACGCCATGGTGCGGGACGTCAACACGTGGGTGCCAACCCTATGTGCATCGACCGAGGTGGCGACGGTCCCAGCCAGCGAGACCCTCAGGGCGCAGATAACAGTGTATATCAAGCACCCGACTTTTCTTCTCAACGTCGCCTTCAGTGCTCTGCAGCAGCGGCCTCAACATCGCCTACCACCAGTGGCGCGGACTCCCCGCCTCTCTTCTCGGTGCGTGCTCTTGACAAATATATGCGTCGTCATGTGGAATGTAGGCGCTAGCCTCGGCGCGCTCGCTGGCTTGGTCGTTACGCTCGACTTTCCGGCAATCAAGCGACGTTGGGGCGCCGCGGCCGTGGTGCTTGTTAGCGTCTGGCTCTTCTGGCTCACGCTGCTACCGGTCGGCCTCTCGTACATTGCCTTTGGAGAGACGCGGACGACGGATATCGTCATGGTCGTCGCCGTCCTCGTCTCGCGCGTGGCTCTGGATGACTGACCTCGCCGAGACGCAGCTCATGCAGGAGCGCGTCCACGAGTCGACGCGCGGCGCCATCGATGCGATGCAGACCGCCACGTCCAAGATCTTTTACATTGCGATCGTATGCTCAGCGCCTTGTGGTCGGACCCAACGGCGTTCGAGACGCTCGCGTTCGTCTCGCTCGGCGCCGTCGGCAGCGCGGCGCTAGGCATTAGCCTCTAGCTTGCAGCCCACGGGCGAACCCTATACATACACCGTGTACCTCGAGCCCTGCGCGTCGACGAGCCTCCATGGGCGCGGCCTGACGACGCGCAATCAATTGCCGCACGGAAGCCCAGAGGAACGTGCTGGCGCTGAATGTGCAATCAGATGGCGCGTTCTGATTGGTCGGATCTCGAATCGCCAAATCTCAAACTCAAAGGGCAGTTTGCAGTTTCCAATTTCCGCCATGACGCGCGTGCTCCTCATCGACAACTACGACTCGTTCACGTACAACCTCTTCCAGTACATGGCCGAGCTCGGCGCCGACGTGACCGTCATCCGCAACGACCACACGACCGCGGCCTTGCTCCTCGCCGAGTATACGCGGGCGCCGACCTTTGACCGGATCCTCATCTCGCCCGGGCCCGGCTTCCCAAAGGACGCGGGTATCTCGTGCGACGTGATCCGGACCTTCCAGGGCATCGTGCCCATCGCCGGCGTCTGCCTCGGTACGCGACCTCTCGACCCGTCCCTTCTTGCTCATGTCACATGCTACCTAGGGCTCCAGTGCATGTTTGAGGTCTACGGCGGCACGGTCGGCCACGCCGGCGAGATCATTCACGGCAAACAGTCCGACATGGAGAACGATGGAAAAGGCCTTTTCAAGAACGTCCCGTCGCCCTTCAAGGCCATTCGCTACCACTCGCTCGTATGCATTCTACTCAAATGTTGCAAGCGAAGTCTCACGCGACGTAGGTCGGTCTGCCAAGCACGCTGCCCGACGAGCTCGAGGTGACGGCCACGATCGCGGGCAAGGACATGATCATGGGCGTCCGGCACAAAAAGTACGCGGTCGAAGGCGTCCAGTTCCATCCCGAGAGCATCCTCACGCCGGACGGCAAGACGATGATTCAGAATTTTCTGACCATGGTCTAAGACGCAATAAGACGCAATCAGTTATCTATTCCTCGACTACGAGATGCCAGACACCAGATATTTCCTAATACCAAATATCTGAGAGAGACTGGTCCGACATTGCCCTGGATATTCCAGAGGTGTCAGTCGAGCAGCCTGGGTCGTAACGAGGGCTGAAACCGAGCGTAACTGGCACAAATGGCGCCCGAGCCCGTGGCCAAGAAGAGCCTCTTCCGCAACAAGGCGGCGGCCCCACCCTCGAGTACGATGCATCGAATTGCGTTAGCCTATGGTCGATCTAGATGTCATTCTTGTCGACGGCATACCGCTGAGCCGGGACCTCGTCGAAGACCCGAGCTTGAGCGACGCGCCACCCGAATCCGAGACCGCCTTTCTCGACGCAGAAGCCGTAGGCGTCAACTCCCATCGAGTCCTTGCCTACGCCCCGTAGATGTTTCGGAAATATGACATTGACCGGTCCGGTGGCATCGACCTCGACGAGTTCAAGCTGCTCTTGGTGGACCTCCAGATCGACATTCCGCCGCCCAAAGTCCAAGTGTACTTTAAAAAGTGCGATTTGGCGCAAAAAGGTTCCCTTTCACAATTCACAATCTCAAGTTTGTTAATGGCACCACGTAGGATTCATCACATTTGACGAATTCCGACTGGCGATGTTTACGTGCGACCCGACGAATCCGACGCGCACGAACGGCTTTTGCCCGAGCAAAGTGCTCAACCCAAAAGATCTCTTCGCCATATTCGACACGGACGACTCGGGGGAAATTGGCCGCGACGAGTTTTCAGGTACGTTCTCGATCCCAAAGTCAATTTTGGAGCATTTGTCTAGCAATCCTGCGCTTTCTCAAGATCAAAATGGCGCTGGACCGACAAGAGGCCGTGTTTAGCCAGTTTGAAAACGTAATTATGACACGTCGCATTGCACTTATGCCACTGCCTAGCCCGTGACCGAAGGCCTGACGTACACTGCGTTTCGGTCGCTGTGGCTCACGGTATGGTCAGGCACAGATTTGTCATGGAAAATATTGTCATCTAGCTTGTCGACGTTCGAAAAGAGCTCAACAACCGCAGCATTGCGTACAACAAGCTCCTCTCGCGCGCCAAACTTGCCAAGAAGCTCGAGTCGATCTTGGACAAGGAAGACGCGCAGGAGCAATATACGATGCTCGAAGCTCAATGGAACTTCAACTGGGAGCAAATCAAGTCGACTTGGTTGCCAAATAACCGCGCGTCTCACTGTACTCCTATGCTAGGGAGCGCCGGGAAAAGCTTCTCACCAACGCCAAACGCTACGCCGATGTACGTCGACATCAATATGAGCAGGCAAGCACGAGAGCGTGTAGTACGTCCTGGGGGAGACCCTCGACGCTGCGGGGCAGGTGTATGTCTTTGGAAAAGGCTCGTTCAACCGCTTTGACGGAGTCGTACGCACTCCCATTTGCTCGTTAAGTTGGGCTCCTTATGTTGTCTAGCCGGCGGAGCGTGACTTTGTCGAGTGTCCGTACTTTTCGCGGCTGTTGGCGCTTTGGACGAGTCGCGTCCGGGGGGCAGAAGCCTTTGCACCAAAAGCACCGAGTAGCCCCGAGAAGAAGTCGGGGGGCTGGGACTCGCCCAAGCGGAGACCACCAATCATCAAGACCGAGCGCATCGCACGCGACCCGACGCAAACGCAGCAGCTCGCCTTCCACAACCGCGTGGTGCGTGGTTTATGAATCGATGTGTAAAAATTGAGGTCGAGGGGTAGGTGGCCATCAATACCGCGTGGCTCTGGGGACGGCGCATCAAGCAGGTAGCCCGTGAGGGATTTGCAGTTGAAGCATATGGATGGCTGCAGGTCTCGTGCGGGGCGTCGGTGGCCTATGCTTTGACGGACGCCGGCGAGCTCTATTGCTGGGGTGGCACCCGTCGCACGTGGGACTACATTTACTGTCCCGAGCACTCGGCCGGTCTAAACTATCGAAAAGACTATACAAACGATTGACCACCGCGAATGTAGATGTAGCGCAGCAGGTGCCGGGAGGCGCCGCGTCACGACCGTACACGGCGCGTACCGAAATGCTCAAGCTCAGCGCGCCCCATCAGCTCGTCGCCGACGAGCACGAGCACTTGAAGAATTACGTGCGCACCATGTTTCGAGAGGTTGCCCCGCCCGAGGTGCCGGTCGAGTCGGACGAAGCCGAGCTCCAGCGGTGCGCACTGAGGTCCCAACACCCATTTTGGAGAATGACCTCGGGGTAGACTTCTCGTGCTGATCGACTACTTTGAGCTGTACCCACCCGCCTTGCGCGCCGAAGTGCACCTCGCCAAGGCGCGGGAGCTTCTAGAATTCAACTTGCGCGCCGACGTCGTTGCCAATGCGCTGCGGGTAGCTGCACCCAGTCTCGAACCGTGTCGTTAGCATTCTGGCTGTAGCTGCGCGCGCTGCAGTCGAGCGAAATGGGAAAAGCCGCCAACGCCACCAAGCTCAGCAAGTGCTTGATGCTCGAGCTCGAGTGCATGGGCGAGCCGTTCCAGCGACAAATGAAGAAGCTCGACCAGCAGCTCTTACGCGCCCTGCACAACAACCAAGAGGCCGCCATCACCTCGTAGAAGCACTGGCGTGCTATCCATCGTGAGCGATTTGGAACTAGGGTTCTCAAGAAGGGCGCGGCGCTCTGGCAGCGCATGCGGCAACTGGTGACGGCCATCGACGAGACCGAGACGACAGCATTTCAAGCCAAGCAAGATCTCTGGGATCAAAAGCGCAGCGAAGTCGGGCGGCTTCGGCACAAGCAGGCGCGCAGCGGACAAGAGGGTGTCACATTGAGCGTACGTGCTGCTTTGCAGCTTGAGGTATGTGCCTCACAATGTCTATAGGCGATTCCCAACAATGAGAAAACCCTTCAAATGAGTGGTTTGACAGCGCGAGGGCCGCGTCAAAAGACATTTTTGGGGCACCAAGCGCTCCAGCAAGTGTCACTGGGCGCCAAACACGCGCTGGCCGTGCACCAGTCCGGGTACGCGTCAACTTGTCCTCTAAATACAGTAAAACATGATCTTGTTCCTAGGCAACTGTACGGGTGGGGTTTCGGGACTTATGGGCGTCTCGGGTCTGGCTCCCACGACGACACGACGACGCCAAAGCCTCTTGTTCATCTGCGGGACATGCGCTTCCGGTCTGTTGCGTGCGGCTACTCGCACAGTCTTGCCCTTCGCCACGACGGACAGGTTGTCAATTGTAGTCCGCCAGCTAACCCAGGGCTAGGTGTTTGTGTGGGGCTCCGGTGCCACCGGCAAGCTCGGGCTTGCATCGCCGACGAACGAACCGCCTGTCGCCCGACCGCATACGACGCCTGTGGGCCACCGGCATGCAACTGCCTCGCAGCCCGTGCGGATATCGTCGCTCGAGGACTGTTTTACGATTTTACCATTGCCACTGGCGCTTCCCTCCAAGGTGTCTTCTGTCACTTTCGATGATGGTACTCACCAGCGTATCATGTAGGTGCGCAAGATCGCGTGTGGTCCATCGCACTCGGCAGTCATCTCGACCAACGGCGAGCTCTACGTCTGGGGCAGCGGCGACGGCGGTCGTCTTGGCCTGGGCGACGGTCGATTCACCGGTACCCATTCTTTTCCACGGAATCATTGCCGTATTTTGACGAACGGATGGAGATACGGACAACGAACTGCGGGGAGGTAACCTCGGCATCGTGTCGGTGCCGACAAAAGTGGCGGCCTTGCACGACCACCACATCGTCGACGTGAGCTGTGGCACGGCGCACACGGCCGTCGTGAGCGCCATCCAGAGCAACGGAGTTCTTAGTTCTGGCGGTAGACAATTTTATATTTTGTTTGGACGCTCATCGGTACTAGGTCGTGTCTTTGTCGCGGGAAGTGCACATGCGCTCGGTGTCTTTTGCCCCGCATTTGTGACGCCGGCGACGCTCGCATCCGTGCAAGTCACCACACTCGCGTACCAAGACTGCTTACGTTGCTACGACGCAAGCTCTCGTTTCGACATAGGTGCGGAAACGCGCACACGGCCGCCGTCTCGATCGACGGCGAGCTCTTCTCTTGGGGCAACAACGTCGGGGGCTGCACGGGCCACGACGTGAGCCACCGGTTCATTGCGACACCGTCGCGCGTGCCGTGCATTTTCCAATCGCCGAGCAACATGGCACGGCATCCCTCCTACGACGTTGTCGCGATCCAGAGCACCGTAGCCACCGGCTACGGCGTATGAGATTTACTAAAATCCGAAAACCCTAGCCCTAACCTAGCCCTAGGCGAGTCTCGCGCTGGACGGCGTCACGGACGGCGCCTACGAAAGCACGTGTTGCCAGACCTTTCGTGAGATGTGTCCGTTCTGGCAGGTACGTTTTTACGTCGACGGAATCCATACAACTGTGCACGCAGGTCGACCTCGGCGTCATGTGCCGCGTCGCCTCGGTGCGCCTTTGGAACCGAACGGGCGCCCCCGGCGACCAGCTGTTCCCATGCATCGTGTACATCGGTCAAGAGCCGTTCGAAGCCGAAGCAGGAAAGCACGCGCTGCGCGAAGCCAAGGCCCACAGCATCTTCACCAAGTTCAAGCTCGAGACTGCGACCAATCCGCTCGTGTGGCACCCGCCCGACAACACCATTGGTACTCGGCCAATACGAAGACGTCGCCACGTATAGCGCTATTAGGACGCTACGTGCGCGTGCAGATCGATGGCACTTCGATCCTCAGCCTCGCCCAGGTCGAGGTTTTTGGCACCGAGGAGTGGGTGTACCAGGGTCCGCGCGTGCAGAGTGTGGCGTCCGGTGACGATATCCTCGTCGCGATCTGCCGGCCCACGCATGCCCAGAGGTGATCATAGCTAATGCGGTAGCGATCTATATTCTGGATCTAGCGATATTGACAAGGCCTACCTCCGCGCGCTCTGCGCCGACAGCCGCTTCCAGAGTATTTTGGACGAATTTCCAACGTTTGACACGAGCAAAATGGCGCTGACCGACCTCCGCCGCGCGGCGAGAGACTGCCCGCTCTGCACCGTCCAGCGCGTCTGCCCGCTCTGTCTCTTGTGCAACGAGCTCGACGCCCACGACCACGACTTGGCATCAGGTCCGCACCATTCCTCCGCACCTCTCTTCCTACCTCGGCGAGCGTAGACTACCGTGCAACCCTGTCGCTGGACGAGATTGGCGACTTCTTGCTGTCGCTGCGCCCGCCCAAGCCCGTCGCGCCGCTCGCGGTAGCCACCGACCACGCACTGCTGGCTTATCGACTTTGCCTTTTGCGCAGGTCGACGAAGAGAACCGGTTGGCGCGGATTTACGTTGACGATGAGAAGCCCGAGTCGGCTCTGCACAATACCGAAGCCCGCGTCCTCGCCGCCATGAGCAAAGGTGAATCGTGTTTATCGAGAAAGGCTAGACGATGACAATATTGTTGGTATTAATAGTCGTGGCGTCGGCCAAAGGCGGTCCGAAACCACAGTCGTTTTTGAGAAAGGCCATGGACACAATGGCCACGTCGCGACTCGCGTTTGCAAAGCGCAGGATGCCCGAGATGCTCGTTCAGGTCGTCCGGCCGCAATCGACGCCGAGCCTCGGGACAGGGCTGTAGCCACAAAGACAGGCGGCGCGACAGTACTCGGCGCTCTCAGTGTGGGACTCCCGTGCAGCTTCTCAGAAATACACTGTACGTAGCTTCAGACGCGTGATGGACGATGGGGGTGCATAGCCAGGCAGTAGGAGGATTGTCGCGGCTATGGCCTCCGCGCCTCGCAGGCGTGAGTTCGCGCCTGGCGCCAATGCGGCTCGGAATTTTTTTCATAAATTAGCTAATTAGGGGTAGTGTCTAGAAGTCGTACTCTTCGGCGGGCACCGTGGGCATTGTACTCCGCATGAGGTTGCTCGTCTCGATCGTCTTCTTCCAGAGCGCCTCCATCGACTCGGCAAAGACGTCCTTGGTCGGCGCATCGCTGTTGGCGTCCTTCCCGAACGGCGCGGTCTTGCGCCGCCCGCGTGACGACTCGATTTCGATCTCCATCATGTTGAGCTCAATGCATTGGCGCTCGACGTAGTAGCCAATCATGGCGGCGGTCGCTTGGAGCTCGCGGAGGATCTTGGGCGCCGGTGTCGCGGCCAGCGGCTTGTGACCCGCCAAGTCGAGCGTGCCAATGATCTCACGCCGGTGCTGGCGGCCGGTCACGACGATCGGCACCGAGAGGTACGCGAGTCCGTTCTGCTCGATCGTAAGCGGGTGGGCGCGGAAACGCGCGTCTTGCGTCGTGTCCAGCACTACCAGTGGCGTGGACTGCGTGTAGCTGCACGGCGCTTCTTCCCGCAGCGTCTGCTGCTCGAGCTCAAAGACCGAGCTAAAGCCGAGGCAGGCGAGGTTGAAGACGTAGTGCTCGCCAATGAGGTGGATCCCGCCCATGGAGGCCCACGGCACGAGCGCCAGCGACTGCGTCACAAAGGTCGTGAGCTTACTGTCGTTGTCAAAGTGGGCGACGTGCCGCTCAAAGTCGAGGTCCCGGACGACCGCGAGGCGCGAGGCTTCGTCGGTCGGCAGCGGCGCCTTGGGGTACGGATTGGCCCAGTTGAAATCGAGGTCGTCAGAGACCGATTCGGTGATTCGCGTCGAGTAGCGCTCGAAATCGTCGCTGCTGTTGTCGTACTTGCCGCTCACGCGGAGGCCGCCGTCTTCAAGGAACGAGTCGACCTTGCTCTGCTTTCGGGACCGGGTGCCGACGCGGTCGCTGTCCGAGAGCTCGCCCTCCTCGGGAATGCGGTAGCTGAACGTCGTGTTGCTGTCGGCTTTGCATTGCGACGTGGTTGGTGAGACGTACGACGACGTCGCGTGGGTCGTACCGCTGTGTCGGTGCTTCGCTTCCGCGTCCGCGCGCGCCGCGACGAGGCACGCCCAGCACACGCGCTTCTTCCAGCCGACCTTGCACGAGCACGCGCGGCAGACCGACCGGTCGCAGCCCTGGCAGTTGTAGCGCCAGTGGAACGGGTCGAACGACCGCATGCACGTCGTGCAGGCCTTGAACTTGAGCTTCATCGTACTACTCGCGGCCATGCTGGCAAATTGAGTTGTGGGCGTAGCGAAGGCGCAGCCGCAGACATACGCTTCGCTGCGCCGTATCGTTGCGCCCAACTGTCCCACCCGTATAGAATACGTCGAAAGTGCAAAGAGAGTGAGACGAGTGCAATGAGAGTGGATCCAGAAACAAGAGCGCTGGCTTGTCACGCCGCCGCCAAGCTGTCCCGGCAGCCAGCATCGTCGGGCGTCAAGTCTCTTGGCATCGTGTCGACGTCGCGCGAAAGACAGCACCTCGTCCATTAAGCTCGTCGTCCGGTGTGCTCAATCATTCGGCTAAGAAATGATATTTTTTTTATTTTATATGGAATAAAAAGGCCATGTTCATTTTGGAGATGGCGCGAGCTGCGAGAACCCAAAGCGAAGTGGAGCGGCGTCATTGACCGCGAGATGGATCCATGACACGCCAGTAGCAACTACATGTACAGTATGTAGACCTCGAAGCCGTACCTCCAATGCTAGAAATCGTACAAAAGCGAGGAAATCCCGATTTGCGTCAAACTACCAGTCCTTTCTCTTGATAAGCGATGGCAGGACGATGATTCTTGACGGCCACGAGGCAACGAGCCCGTGGAATGTAGGCGGTCGCCATGGCGCCGCCCGTGAAGAAGAGTGGACGACGGTCGAAGGAAATTTCGTTGGCGGAGCCTGTTGCTGGCGAAAGCGCTGGTCGTCAACGATTTCCTGCCTTGAAGGCCGCTTGAAGATACTCGTCTCGATCGCCATACAGCGTTTGACGATGCTGGAATGGGTATATAAGCTCGCGTGCGTCAGGGTGCCTAATGCACAATCGACGATGATGGCGTCACACGCTGCGGTCGACCGAGCACCAAGGAGTAGCTTTCTATGTACTCGAATATACACGGGCGGAATTGCTTGGCTACAGTGTATTGTTTGTTACCCTCGGCCTGATATGCTCGAGGTGAGAGGAGAGTGAAATGGAGAGCGCATCCAGCGATTCCTCGGGCCTCTCCGCCTCTCGGCTTTTCTGTGACAGGAGAGCCAGTATCAGACAGTGTAATTTGCACTGCACTACACTCCTGACTTTACTTTGGCTTGATGTACAATGCGCGCAGTCCATGACGCCGCCATCCGGGCCGCGCCGTGGGACACGGTAGCAGCGGCTTGATATCAGGTGTACTCGCCGCCTCGACAGCGTACGAAGCAGGTACAGGCATGAAGGAACTCGCTTAAGCTATCGAGTTGGATGCACCTGACGTGCGTCGCGACAAGGCGCTGACGCCCACGCTGGCCAAAGACGCGGTCCGATACAAAAACGGTGCGTCAACTTCAGCGACCGGAGCTTCATTAGTCGTGGCTATCTTGCGGCGTTGGTCGCAGATGGACATCGTTCGTTCTTCGGAACGTCCCAGGAGCGTCATCGCCTGTGCTTCAACGATCGAGACAACCGCATAAATTGCTGGCCGCAGAAGCGACCCGCGACCACATTTGGTTTGAGCACGCCAGCCGTCGCCTGCGCGTCGAACGGCCGCATCACCGATGGCGTGTGGCGACTGGAACAATAGACAAATTTTGTTTTTCTTCCTAATCCCACATTTCTAGAATCGCATGCGCGTGATTAGCAATGGCACAGCGATGGCGTCGACAACGGACGTGCGCATTGCACTGGATACATCCACGACACGCGTGCGCCCGACCGCCGCCAAGTCCCCAGCTCGCATCATACACCCTGGGATTCGTCGCGGGCATAAATATCCAAAGGCAACGTCATGCCAGGATACCGGTAGAAAAAGTGTATGTAAAGTTACGAGGACTGGCCGAAAGAAGGTATTTGCGCTGCCAATCGAGGCGGCTAGACTGGCAGCCAGTTAATGCTGCGTGACAGGGCTGTCGGGCGATTGCGCGCGATGGGTACCGGGTCAACCCGCGTTGGGTGAAAGCGTGGCTATGTTGCCGCGCCATTTCCAAGACTAGGGTAAAAGACTCTAATTGTCTTGTGTGGGACAACACGGCTGTCACTGTCAACGGGCGGAGATTGCAGCGCATGGCTCACCTACGTCAATGGCATGTTTGTGCACCAAGCTGCGGTCGTGGATGTGACTCCTAGAATCCTGATACACCCAGTGTACCTTGGCAACCCGAGGATGCGCAAGCCGTCATAAAACCTGCAGCAAAGGACTAGCTGGGGCAGGTCCGGTGCGCAAAAGCGGATGAGTCTCCGACCGACAACTTTTCGCGCCAACGAGCGCTTCAATGGTGCCTCACTACTCGTCTTTACACCTCTGTTTTGCTGCCTTCCTTTTCTTTTGGCCTCAAACGGCTCGTTGAGAGTCGAAGGAACGCATGGTCGTGTTGGCTGCATGCGCCTATGGTGCACCATCACTTGCTTACGAAGCACCTGAAGTCGAGAGCCCACCACGGGCACGGTTTGTGTTGGGGTACAACACGAGATTTGATACGACTGAAGGGACACCATCGATCCTCGCAAAGAGCATCGCGGAGCCCGCTCTCGCGATTACCATGCACATTGCTTGGCCAACAGCTCTCACTGCGCAGCCACGGCCCGGCGAGCGAATGAAGAAGAAGGAGATTGCTAGTCTCTACGTATGCGAAGTCTTTGTGTAATTATGAAGATAACGCGAAACACGTTCATATATCGTTCATATATAATAGCTCTCACTGGTGGTTCCTCTTCTGGTTTGCGCTCACCACTAGCTAGTACATTTCTTTGAATGTTCGACGAGGGGCGAGGAGGGACAGTTGAAGATCCAAGTGTCCCGATGTGTTCTAGAAGGGTCCGATAGCCCGATACTATGATTCAATGAGATGCTAGGGTTTATTTCGAGTTGTTCACACTGCTTGTGGCCTGAGCTGGCTTCACAATTCGAGACAGAGTTTCGGCATGACACTCTGTTTTACGAGAACACAGTGTATTTTGGAAACAGTGTATTATACACTGGCAAAAGGCAACAAGGTACACTGTACCTGCAGCCGAGCCGCTGTTTTGTTTGAACAGCGGAACATGAAGCCGCCAAGCACTGTACTGTGCACCTGACGCAGGCCATTGACCACACACTGGTGCGAAGACTCGGGCTATTACCGCACGCCTACTGGCAGCAGGTTGTTGCATGAGTCCAATATATACGTGGCACTACTCGTTGTTTAGCCGCACGCGCCAGAGACTCGGCAACGTGTCAAAGGCGTTCAATATATTCGAGTAAAAGGAGGCAAATAGTCATGGCTAGCACGTTGTTGGCAGTGCAGAAGGGGGGAGTAAGCAGGGTGGACGTGTCGCTAGGAGGCACGGGTGTGCAGCCGCGTGCAAAGGAGCGTATTCAGTCACTCCAACGTTTGTTTCAAGGATGCGACGCGAGCATCTCAACTGAGTGTCTCGGTGCTCAGAGCTGGTGCTGTGTTGCGGGATGGTGACTTCATCGGTCGTTTCCATCCAATTTCTGAAGTCTCCATACACTGTATTTGTCATCTGACAACGTGTCTTTGGCGCTGGGTGCCGTCGCTGCCGAGCATGCGTTTGTGCTAACGCGGCTACGTAGCGCACACATGTCATCTAGTCTACAGGGCCAGCCTTGCACCAGGGTCTTTCGATAGGTACTAGCACGCACGGGCAGCTGCTCTTTGTCATGTGACGTTTCTGGCAATGCACTGCATTTCCTTCATACAGTGTATGTACACTGCTGCCAATTGCAAACGCAGGCAGCTGCAAGCCCATCTTTGCGTCGAATGAAATAACTCGTCCACTCGTCCTTCTCGCTAAAATTGGAGGTGCAAATTAGGATCGTTTTAGTCCTTGGGCGCGGCGATATGCAATAAGCGAGGAGAGTGCTAGGAAGTGAAATCCCGAGGTGCTAGCGTCCAGAGATACGTAGCAGGAGGTTGAAAGGTCAATAACTCCGGGAGAGATGATTGTGAATTCACTGTCACAGCGGTTGCTGGCGACTGCCCTGCCACTTTTCGTTCCGGGCTAGCTATCTTCGGCCACCACTTTCAGCGTTGCCACGTCATATGGGTAGAACGGCTGTTTGGCCCTGTGTTTTTCACGCTCTTTACCACGCTGTGAATTTCTCGTCCAATACAATCTACAAGTGCGAGTATTAAAACACACGCAGATTTCCCACCAAACGACCCTAAGCCTGCGCTAAGACACGGTGAACTAGCGGCGCGATGATCCTTCAGGCAAAGCTTTCGGCAATCCAAGTCCACTGGATGAGGCAGAAAGAGCAAGGTTTCGACCGATGGCTTGTCGTCTGCGCTCATTCAAAGTTCTGTTGTCGATGGTGGTGTAGGTCGACTGATAGGCCTGGTGATGCGCCAGCGCATATCGCGTTCGCGGTTCGAAGAAGGTGCTCGTGAGTCGTCTGCCATCTCTGGCTGATCGAGACGCTCATGGTTGCTGCCCACCGACGCGTGGGCGTCACCATTTCGAACCCGAACTTTATTTTTTAAACTGGCAGATAAGAGTATGCTTGACGCGTTCAGCGTCTGCACAGTAGCTCGGCATCGTGGACAAGCTCGCTGCTCGCTACTGCACTAGAAGTCCTTGGCTCTGCCTCCAACTCGCAGGAAGATGTCGGAATAAAATAGGGATGTTAAATAAATTGTAGCGTGTCTATCGGGACGCAATGATATCGTGGACGTAGTTGGACGTGCGCATGGACTGCGTCAAGAGGGCTTCCATCGTCTCGACGAGCGACCCGTCCGTCTCGATCTTGGCCGGCGCCGTCTTGCGCCGCGGCCGGAGGCTGTTTTCGCTGTCCGAGAGCCGCGTCGTCTTGCACGTGTTTTGCACAAAGCCGCTCGCGAGCGCGGCCAGCGCCGTGAGCTCGGACTGGAGCTTGGCGGGCACGGGCGTCGGAAGCACGTCGCGCCCGAAGAGCTCCATCGTGCCAATGATGTGGCGGCCCAAAAGCATCGGGATGCTCAGGACGCCGCGCGCGTGCAGCTCGGTGGCCACGGGGTGCGCACGGAAGCGTAGGTCGAGCGCTGAGTCGGCCACAACGAGAGCGTCGCCCGAGACGACGACGTACGACGCTAAGGCTTCGAGACGAGGCACGCGCTGCATGACCATGCCGGACGACGCGATCGGGATCGCATGGGTGCCGTCGACGAGGTAGATGGCGGCCATGGTGGCGTCCGTGGCCGCCATCGCCTTCTCGAGGAGGATCACGAACGTCGTGTCTTGCTGCAGCGCGGCCAAGTGCTCGGGCACGCGGAGCGTCTCGACGACCGCGATGCGGGCCGACTCGTCCGCGGGCTGCGGCGCCTTGGGGTACGGATGCACCCAGTCAAAGTCGAGCGTGTCCGTGTCGATGGTCGGGCCGCGCGGCGTCGGCGCGCGCAGTTGCAGGCCCCCCGAACTAAGAAAGGCCACGACGTCGTGAGGCTGCTCGGGCGCAGGCGCCTTGAGGAGGCTCGGGTTGGCGCAACGGAGGCACGTTCGGCGCTCGGCGCGGGGCACGTCCTTGACGCCGACGAGGGCGCGCGAGCAGTTGCGGCAGACGACGTCGAGGCAGCACGGACACGTGTACCGCGTCCGCTGGAAGAGCGTAAAGGTCTGCATGCAGAGCCCGCAGGCCGGCGACGACGACGACGACATCGTAATGGTGAGGCAAGTTGGCGAATGCAATCCTGTGAAAATGCAGTTTTTTCGAACCAAGAGCCGGAGACGATCCCCATGGCACCTCGAACAACGTGCGATACCACGCCCAGCAGATGGCGCGCGGCTGGATCTGCGAGCAAACTTCGCAGATATCGGCTTGGGTTCTGAATGCACAGGCACTCTCTGGCATACAGCGGCCGCAGGAAGCAGTATGTAGCAACATGCAGTGTATTGGACTCCCTCGGCCCGCGCCTGCACGACCGCGCCTACAATACGCAGGCAGCTGGCCGCCACAACCGAGGAGGCGCCTGCGCGTTGCCATGCAACCTGCCACGCGCACGTCAGGCGCATGTGAAGGTGTACTACAAGTAGACAGGAAGATGGGACGATGGAGCTCAGGTTGGAGCTGGCGCCATGTTCGATCGATCGACCTTACGTCAAGCGCTTTGGCGCGTAGCATCTGCAGACGAAGCGATGAGTGTGCCTGGGACACGTGGCACGCACGCGGCGCGGCAACGCGCGGCAAGGTCACGCACCCAGGGGAAGCACCAAGTGCAAAATGTATGCCAACAAGACACTGTAATAGGGCAAGACACTGTACTGGCTCCATCGACGCACCCAACGCGGTCGAAGGTTCCGGCAACGCGCGTGCGTGAGCAGCGCTGCTGGCACTCGCGTTAACGACGCTCGTGCCGCTCGCGCGGTGTAGCTGCGCGTCGGCGGCTGCTGCTTTTGCGGCGCGTCGAAAGCAACGTGCTGCAGACCACATGGCCGCCGGTATGCAGCAAGGACGCGCTGATGCTATTTGGGGTGCTAACGTTGACGCGAATCGTTGCCCGCAGATGTGGTTCTAGAAGCATCTTATATCTCCGAACGCTGTCGTCGTGGCGCACGTGGCTGCTGCTTGAGGTTTCTTCGAGGCGCGGTGAGGTTTCGCCGTCGTTCGTTGGCGCAAAAGCGATCACTGGTTGCGCTGCACAGGCCGACGACAACACCAGAGCGCGCAACAAATCGTAACGAGGTTGGAACTGGCGCTGCTACGATATCCAGTGCACCATCGGCTGTAGTCGGCGCCAAAAATCCAAAATATATGTCTCCCACAACGGACGACCACGTGGCTGACGTGCTTCGGGGTCCTTCTTCTTGCTGGCTTGGCTGGCGCTGTGTCTCGTCGCGGCGGTGCTCCACAAACGCTTGATGATACCTCAGCTTGATCGTCAGCTAGGCCTTTTTGCATCCTCGTGCCTCCAGGGCTCGTTGTCACAGGGAGCGAGCGAGGTCAACCGCAACGCAGCTTTCACCACTGTGACTCTGAAGCGTTCCTGAGTCGTTGACTGTGTCGGCTTCATACAGCGACTTTCTCGAGGCGACCAGCGGAGGAGCAACGATTTGGCGCCTTCTCGCCTACCGGGCCAAGCCGCCTCCATCCTGAACGCCACGCCCACGTGGACGTCATCGGTGCGTTGATCGTCTTCAACTGTGTTTGATTCGAGAGCGCACGAGCACAACAGAGTCCAAGGCGGTCGTTGCACTTTGCCGAAAGACGTGGCAGAAGCTCTTGGTCGATCAGATCGCTTTGGAACCAAGCATATGAGATACCCTCCTCTTCCTACCCTCCTCGGCGCATCAATCAAGCGTCGAATGCTCGGACCCGGGCGACGCGTGCGGCTCGTTTAATGTCGTGCTATGCGCAGCGTTTGCTGTCATGGCGCAACTCGCGTTGGCGCCTGGACTCCACCCCATAGCAAGCTTCGAGCCCAGATCGCACACGCCCAATCAGATCTTCATGACATCACACTGCTCGCACTGCGGCATGACCGAGACGCCAGCGCTGCGCCCATTCTCAATGCGTAGCCTCGTCCTACGTTCGCACGCTACCTCGCCGGCTGCTACCTGCTCGCACCACCGTGTACTCACTACGCTATCACATCCACGTCGATGCATGCAGCTGCCGTCGCCAAGCGCCTTCTCGCCGCTCGCGTCTCACGCGCGCTCTTCTGCCCAACTCGTCCGCTACCTGCTCGCGTGGGCTTCTACCTGCTTGCATCGTTGCTACCTGCATCGTTGTACCTGCTCGCATCGCTTGGCCTTGCGCGCATCGACAGCATCGTGTCGCCAGCACCGGAACAAGGCCATTGGTCGAGCGGATCCGGATAATAGAGTCCGTATCCGGAAGTACCGGCCCGCCGTTGGGACCGTATACAAAGTCTCATATAAACTTTGGGTGGCGTCAAGCACTGGACGCGGAGGCCGGGATTTTGAGGCCAATCGCTTGCGCGTAAAGTTGAGCGAGCGGATTTCACTTCCAAACACTTAGAAGGAAAAGAACAACATGGGCAAGCGTACGAAGAAGGTTGGCATCTGCGGTAAGTACGGCGTGCGCTACGGTTCGTCGCTCCGCAAGGTCGTCAAGAAGATCGAAGTCTCGCAGCACGCCAAGTACAACTGCGTCTTCTGCGGCAAGGACAACGTCAAGCGCGCCTGCACGGGCATCTGGAAGTGCAAGTCGTGCCACAAGGTCGTCGCCGGCGGCGCCTACCTCCTCAACACGCCGTCGGCCGCGACGGTCCGCTCGACGCTGGCCCGCCTCCGCAAGGCCCGCGAAGCCAACATTGAGTAAGCGCGACCTCTCAGTTGACAACTACCTCCTACCAGTCCGTGCGCCCACCAGCCAACGCTCTAAGTAGAGCGCCATGCTGCGAAGGCACGCGTGCCGGCTTTTAAGTGTAACGAGAACCCAACCCATATCTCGACGGCGCTCATGCGCCTTGGTCCTGGCGAGCACCTGCCATGGCGCAGCATGGTGGGCATCCCCGTAACGCGTGACGAGCAACGCACACTTGGTGGAGTCCATGATCAACATAGCGCTAGCCTAGTCGCACCACGACATGGAGGCATTCGCCAAGTCATGTAGCTCGCAGAGAAACCTGATGCGCGCATGGCTGGCCAGAGGTGGCTCCAACGCAACAGTCACAGGACGCATCATCGCAGCTCGCGCATCATCCAACCGAGCTGTAATGACCAGGTGTTTCCGCATGTGCTCTCACAGCGTCGCTACATGCAGCTTCCGAAGTACGTCGCCAACCCACAACGTCAACCTGGTGTGGCCGACGTCGCTGGCGAGCGGCAGGCCAACTCTCGCCCTGCGTGTACTCACGTGGCGCACCGCGCTCGTTCGACCGGGTGGCAGGCCTCGCGTCCATTTTACCGTAAACTCTCTATTGCTACAACTCCTAAATGCTATAACTCCTACATTGTCTATCTGTGTACTTAGGCGGCGACGTCGTCTTCGAGCGACTCAATCGCAAAGCGGAGCATGTACACCCAGTGCTTCATCTCGGCCTCAGACGCAACGCCAAAGGTGAACGTCCTCGGCGGCTGCACCTCGGTGGCACTCGACGGGCTCGTCGAGTTGCGCGACCACTCGCGCACGTCGATGTGGAAGCTTGCGTACTTGCCGCCGTCGCCTTCCGAAACGCGGGCGCCCGCGAGCTCGATGGTCGTGTACCGGCCGCTCAGATTCGGCTCGCTCTGGAGGAGGAGGCGGTTCGTGTGCAGCAGCGCCATGCGCTTCTTCCACTCGGTTGCGCCAAGGTGCAGTGCGCGGAGCCGACTCGACGTCTTCTTGACTTGGACGAGGCCAGCGTGCAGCCGCATGTTGCTGCCGCGACCGTCGAGGACGACGGTGGCCTCGGACTGCGACCGCGAGTGCGCCTGGACCTTCTCAAAGTACTGGTGCCGCACGAGCTTGTGCTGCGCTTCGCGGTACTCGACGAGCTTGAGGTGAAGCTTGTCGAGCTGCGGACTCAGGAGCAGACTCCGGAGCACGTCGGCCATGAAGCCGTGGCAGAATTCGTACTTGGCGGTCTGCGACCGGTTGGACGACGGCGAGAGGCCGCCGATGAAGACGTCAACGGGCCGCAACATCGCAAGCCGCTCGAGCTCGTCGACGTCGCGCACAAAGCCGTCGTCCTTGATCGGGTAGATCGCACGCAGCGTCCGCAAGTCAAAGTCTTGGCCGATAATGCTTGCCGTCTAATAGCCGCATCCCATGAGCAATGCATGAGAAGCGAGTCGCCTTCGTACCTTGAGGAGGAGGCACTGCGGCACCGTGAGCTGGTCCAGAAGGGTCGTCAACACAGCCTTGATGGTACGCGGTGGCGTGAGCGCCAGCCGGTACTTGAGCGGCAGCGTCGTTGCATTCTCCTTGGCCGACGACGACGAAAATACTTTGGAGAGCATGAGCTTGCGCGGCTTCTTGTCGGTGCTGCCACCGACGTTGGACGCACTGACGCTGCGCTCCATGCTAGGCCGGCGCGTGCGCGTGAGCGCGTAGCAGCTCCGGCAGTGGCGCACGTGCTGGTCGGTGTTGCTTCCTTGCAGCTTCCTACGCATAGAGGTGTGAGTTTGTCAAGAAGAAGGAGCGAGTCGACGTACTTGTAGCATGCCTTCGGTGTACACCGCGCGCAAAACACAAAGCCGCAGTGCTTGCAGCGGAACTTGTCCTTGTGGGCGCCGAGGGCGTCGTGGCACTCGAAGCACCGGTCCGCGTCCTTCTTCTCACCCCACGCCACCTGCGCGATCGGCGAGCACGACGCGTCGTTGGCCTGGATCTGCAGCGACTTGTGCGCTTGCATCTCCTTGAGGATCTCGTGCAAAAACAGCGGGTTGCCCTGCGCACGTCCGACGAGCAGCGTCGCGAGCTCCGGATCGAGCGTCTGAATCGACAAGATGTGCTTGGCCAGCGCCTCAGTCTGCGCCGGCGACATGCGCTCGAGGACGCACGTTGTCGTTGACGGCAGAGCTTTGAGCGCCCTAATACAGATGCGACGATGTCATTTCCCATTGCATTGAAGCCAAGGTCGTACCGGAGCTGCTGACGAAAGGCGCCGCTGGCCGTGCGCTGCGTCACCGCGAGGCTTGGTGGCCGAGAGATCGCGACGACCACGCAGTTGGTAAAGTACTTGGCCAGCGCGATCGACAGGATCCACGACCGTTCATCCATGTACATGGCATTGTCCAAGCAGAGCACGAGGCCCTGTCGTCGCGAGATCGCATGCAGCGCCGTGAGGAGGAGGAAGCCGGCCATGTCGAGCGCCACCGGCTCCCACGCGCTCTCTTCGTCTTCGTCTTCGTACAAGGTCATAGTCGGGCTCTCGGGCGTCGAGACATCGCTCGTAAAGAGCTTGGAGAAGAAGCTCGGCAAGTCCACTTGTCTACTCTTAGCCGCATCGCCATTGTTGTCGTTCTCGTCGTCGTCGCTGTTGTTGTTGCTGCTGCTCTCGACCGGCACGGGAAACGCCACGTCCAGCACTGCGTTGAGCTCGTGCAGATGCCGCAGAAGCGTCCGGTTCGGCGCCATGCCCTCAGCGACAACATTGGCCACAAAGGTCTGCAGGTCCGTCTCGGGCGGGAGGCACTTGGCGAGGATGTCGGCGAAGATCGCGTACGGCTTCTCGGCCAGAAACGGCGACGCGGACGCAAAGACAACGACGACGTTGGCTTCGGGCGGGAGCAGCGCGAGCGTCGACCGCACGAGTCGCGACTTGCCGAGGCCAATGTCGCCCTCGAGCAAAAGCGCGCCGGCGACTGCTATCGTGCTGAGCTGGCCAATCTTGGCGAGGAGCTGCGCTTGGATCGCGGTCGCGGACGGACTCTCGGGGATCGACGGCCGAATGTCGTCTGCGAGCCGGCTTAGCCGCCGCTGCGCGTGCTGGAGCTGGCACTTGTACATGTCTTGCATCACGTGGAGCGGCGTGACGGCCGCGGAGGCGTGCACGGGCCGCCGCGCCGCCACGATGTGGGACATGAGCGACATGCGCATGTACGGGCGGTGGATCGGTATCCGGTCGTGCTTGCCCTTGACAAAGATCTCGGGCGCCTTCTCGAAGTGCAAGACGTCTTCGGCGCACGCCCGCGTCTTGTCGTCCGTGATGACGCTCGAGTCGCCGTGCTCGAGCTTGACCTTTTGCATGAGGCGCGCCGCTAGATTCACAATGTCGCCAAGCACCGTGTACTCACGCCGACTCCCGTGGTGGCCGGCGAGCCCGCAAAACGCCGTGCCCGACGTAATCCCGACCGAGGCTAGCGACGCAAATAGTATCAAGATTTAGTATCAAGTACCAACTCAAAATACCTTTGAGGCCGAGGGGCGCCAAGGCCGCGCGGATCGCCAAGGCAGCGAGAATGCCCCGCACAGCGTCGTTCTCGTGGCTCACGGGCGGGAGGCCAAAGACGGCAATGACGGTGCTAGTCATTTGAATGTTAATTTTGACGTTGAGATTGAGATCATTGAAAGCAATGGCGAGCGTACCTGCCCTTGTCGTCGACGAGAAACTTGTTGACTGTGCCTTCGTAGCTAAAGATGCAGCGCTGGACGGCCGCGAACGCAGTGTGCAGCGCGTGCACGCTCGCCGTGTCGTGCATCTGCGACAAGTCGGCTTCCCTACACGCGAGTTGAGCGATACAGAATATGACCATCCACTGGAAGCGAGCGTACTGGAAGCCGAGGTTGATAAAGAGCACCGTCACCTCGCGCAGCTCGGACGCCCACGTCTCTTCGTCGGCGACTATGTAGGGCCAGACGGCGCGGGAGACGTACTGGCGCATGTGCAGCTGCAGCTGGAGATCGTCGCGCGCGATGGACGTGCGCCGGCTGCACACTTTGACGGGATGTTCGACCTTGAGCACCTTGCAAAAGCCGTCGGGCAGGTCGCGGCCCGTAAAATTGGGGGCGACCATGGCCCAGCACTCAGGCGACACGATGACGTCGCCAGCGAGCGCGTGGTGCTCGGCGGTGAAGGCTTGCACGAGCGCGGGGCCGACGCCGACGTACTCCATGCGCGGCGTTGCGCCGTCCGACTCGCCGCCGAGGTGCACGACAGTGGCGCGGCCGACGCCAATGCCAATCTTGATACTGAGCTCGACGTCGGGCGCGAGCTTGGCTTGATGCAGCTTCTCCTGGATGCCGAGCGCGCACTGGATGCAGCGCCGCACGAGGCTCTCGATCGTGTCTTCCTTGTTTTCAGGCCATAGCACAATGAGCGCATCGCCGGCAAACTTGAAGACGTCGCCGCCTACAGGTGCACCATCTGAGCGATGCCATGCGTGGCATGTTGCATGTACCTGCGCCAGTGATGAAGCGCACGAGCTGCTGAAAGTACGCGTTGAGGTGCTTGCTCAGCGACTCGGCGCCGACGGGGCCGCCCCGCACGGCGAGCGACTCGGTCATGGCCGTGAAGCCAGCAACGTCGGCGAACATGGACACGACCTTGAGCGAGTGCGTCGCCGGGACGGGCAGCCTCTCGTCGCGCGTCTCGAGGTACCTGCGCACGATGGCCGGGAGGTACGCGGCCACGCGGTTGTTGAGGCTCATGGCGCAAATTCGACTCTAATTTTACCCGGCGTTACCGCGCCGATTACCCCATTTTAATGCAACAAAATTAAATAAAGCCCGATCCCGAGATCTTGGAGGTCAGCGGCCAGTGGGACGCTGCTGACGCCACCCTGGCTCCGAGAGGATACTACTGAGCTCCATGTCGCTGCACTACACAGCTGCCACAGCGAGCTGCTTGAACCAGAACGACGGCGCTGATAGCGAAGCGGATGCAGAGAGCTCTATCGTTCGGCCTAGCATCCGCACGCGCCACGTTCGTTCGCCGTAGCTACCAAGCTCGATGCTACTCGTGCTGGAGCTATGCGCCACGGGAGCTGTCGGTTGCAGAAGCTACCGGAGCGACTGGAGCTGCTGGCTGCATGATACCGAGCGACGTGCGAGGTCATCGTGAGCAGGCCAAGGGCAGCAGGACAGGATGCGAGCAGGCCGAGGGCAGCAGGACAGGATGCGAGCTTGGTCCTCGCAAGAAGACACGCTGGAGGTCGCCAGTGCTGTGGGCGGCGCTCTCGTCGGTTCAGGCGCCGCCAAAAAAAGGCCATCCATTGCGATCGGCCTGGATCGTAACACGCCGGATGTTGCTGTTATAACATCATGCAACCGAACGGCTTCGTCTGGTTCGCGAACGCGTTCGATGCTATGCAAGCAAACCGGATATTCTAACACTTTGGGCATCATGAGCTCGTGCTGTGACGATGGCGACCACCAGCACCACAAGCCTGGCCACGTTGAAGGCTACGACATCGAGGGCGACGACCCGACGCTCTCGGCGTGCTGCCTCAAGGACAAGCAGGAGCAGGCCCACGTCGCGCGCGTCATGACCGTCCTCCGCCGCGAGGACGTGACCATGCAGCGACTCGAGCAGCGCCACCTGTCACTGGACAATGCCCTCCCGCGGGCCGCGCCCGCCGTCGCCTTGACGTCGATCGATGACGACGATCTCGATAGCGACGATGACGAGTACGCATACTTGATGGATGACGAAAGCATCGTCGGTGGCTTGGAGCACCAGCGCCGTGCGGCGCTGCTCGCCAAGGCGGCTCTGCGCGAGCAAGGACTCGGCATCGTCTGGGGTGACGTCGAGTTCAAGGCATACGTGCAGAACGTGCTAGCACGCGACACGCAGGCGCTGGTCACGGCAAAGCACTTGCGACCGATCGTCGTCGGCCGTTCCGACGCTGCGACGCAGCCGCTCATGGCCGCGGCGCTTCTCCAGGGCGCCGAGCGGTTCCTTGGCACGTGCTTTTTTGGCATCTCGGCCAACGCGGACGACGCACTTCGCCGACTCTGCCCTCGGATCGCCACCGGTCCGATGCTCGTCGCGCTCTCCAGCAGCGGCGAGTACATTGCCCACCGGTCGCTCGCCATCTTTGACGAAGACGACTGGTATCTTGTTGCAACCGACTTCAACAACGATCACGCAACTGACTAGGGATCGCACGCTGCTGCCATGGCTCGAAAAGTGCAACGTTCTGCGCACCGACTTTGTTGCTTTGACGACCGCCAAACCCAAGCAGCCAACCACATCGACCAACGCGAACGACGAGACCGACGACGACGGGCCGACGGGCTACGACTGCGGCCACGATGGCTGCCGACTCAAATTTGGCTACTACCACGAACACGTCGGCGCCTCCAAGGAGACCAAGCAAGCGATGGCAGCGTGGCGTCAGTAATACAAGGGTGTCGCCATGTGCCAGCTTGACGTGCGTACCGCAGACGCGTGAGTAACAGCCCTCCACTTCAAGCCACTTGCCTATTCCACTGGCTCCACAACTTGGCACTTTGCAAAGCAAAGCGGAACTCTCGACAGGCGATCGACGTGCCAGAGGCGTGGGGCCGTCGATACGACGAGAGACCTACAGGAAGAGTGGTACGGCGTCCTACTTTAAGCATACTGTGCACGGAACGGCTGCAGCGCCGAGCAGGAGGAGCGGTGATTGCTTATCATCTAGCCATCCGTCACAGCCGGGTGTGCTGCGACTGCTGCTTGATCCAGCTTACTATATCGCTGCCTGCAGAGACAAAAGAAGCTACGGTGAGCGGAACAACACCGAAGGCCACAACGTCCGACGATCCCACCTGCGCGATCACCTGCATGTCGAAAGGACTCGCGTCATGGGTGCGAGACTCATGGCGACTTGGTACTCATCGATGGGTGCTTGCTACTAGTACTTTAGTTAGTCGAAGCGTTGGATAATGGGAAGGCGCGCGGCGTCGGTTTTCCCGCGCTGCAACTTCAACGTCCCGCAACATGGATCCCCGCGTTTTGATTGGTTTTTCAGATACGTTTTTGGACCAATCACGAACGCGTCTGCCACCCAACGCAATCCTCAGGCAGTTTTCAATTCGCCAACCAAGTCCGATGGTCTTCACCTTGCACGTGGGCCGCGTCATGCCCCCGGCGCTGCTTACGTCCGCTGTCGTCGGAGGTCTCGCGCTCAAGCGCCGCAGCTCGCTCGAGCCGGTGGCCAAACCGCCGCCTGTCCTCGCCACGCCAGTGAATCGTGGGCGCGTCTGGAAGGGGGCGCGGTAGTCGACTCAATACAGTATTTAGATTCGCCTTTTACGATGTCTTCTTCTTCTTGTTCATGAGGCGCTTCTGGGCCGCTTGGAAAGCGGCTTCCGACGGCTCGTCGTCGAGCGCCTTCTTCTTCTTCGACGTCTTGCTTGACGTCGTGGGCTCCGCGTCCGCGTACTTGGCGAGGAGCGATGCAAATCCTTGCTGCCTACTTAGCTTGCGTGAGGAAGGCTGATGGTTATATGAGGAGGCTTCGTGTGGCGTACCGTTTGGCGAGCGCCCCGCCCGCTTGGTTGCCTCGGATTTTCGCAAGAAGCTCTTCGGCGGCCTTGGCTTCGGCCGCGACCTTCTTGCTCTTGCTTCTCGTCTTTATGGTCTTCTTGGTGAACGCTGGGTACAGAGGCACCTAGAAGCGCTGTGGGATGGCATGTAAATGGTATGTCAAACCTCGTTGGCATCGATGGCCTCCTGGATGATCTTGGAGAAGCGGTCCATGTCGTCGTCGCTCGAGAGCATGACGACGTCCATAATGCTTGTCCATTTGCCCTTGTACTTTTCGTAGGCTAATGCATCGTCGTCATGATGGCACCCAGCAAGCACACGAGGAGGACGATGGACACAGACCGTTCAAGACATCCCGCGCCTCTTCGTCGGACCCGCGGTACTCTTGCTCAAAGCTTTGAATGTCCTTGGTTGTGACCTTGGGGAAGAGGTTGCGCCAGTAGTCCACCCTGTTCGCGATGAGCCCCGGCGACAGAAGCGCACGTTGTACCAGTCGCGGAACGAGGAGGTTTCCGTGGCCTCGGTCTCGAGCTCGCCCGTCTCGTCGTACACGGCGCGCAGCTCGGGGCTGCTAAGCGCCGCATGGATCGTGCAGAGGAGCTGGAACTTGGTCGTCGCCTCGTCGTCGTCGGGGTTCTTGTCGGGGTGCTACATAGCGACGTTGGATGCTGGCCTATCCTGTGTAGCACGTACGTATTTGAGCGCCTTCTTGCGGTACGCCGTCTTGAGCTGCGCGGTCGTCGCCGAGGCCTCGACGCCCAGGATTGCGTAGAGGTCCCGCTGGCCAAAGCTGGCCTCGACCGCGTCCATCGTGCTGCTTGCCATGCTCAGTCGTGTGGCAACCGTGGTTCCCCAAGTGGTTTCCCAATCTTCGAACTTCGAGGTGGAAGAAAACTGTGTTTTTGCACTGTTTTATACAGCGGTTAGAGGCTGTTGCATCAACCTCAACTTGGTCAATGAAGAAAGCGGCCGAACGAACGACGCTTGTCGCAGCGACGGCGTCGCACCAAGCACACGCGTGGCGCAGGTGCGAGTAGCCCAACGCCGTCGAGCGAGTTCCTCTGTCGCGCCCAAGGAGGCGAATACTCGGTACAAACTTACATTTTACAATAGATAGCGCGATATCTTAGAGGACGGAGCCCGAGTCGACGTCTTCTCGGCAGAGCGGACACGACTTCTTCGCGACGAGCCACGAGACAACGCAGTCGCGGTGGTACAGATGCGAGCACGAGAGCTGGACGATGGCCTCGCCCTCGGTCTCGTCAAACGTCGAGAGGCAGATCGAGCACGCTTCGTCGGCGTCGACGCCGTGCGGCTTGTCGAGCGTGTGGTTGAGCATACGCTGCATGGCGCGCAGGTCCAGCATGTCGCTGGGTACGCCGAGGAACGTTTGGAGGAGCGAATGGAAGGCGTGGAAGGTCGGCGAGAGCGGCTCGTCGAGCTTGAGCTTTTGATATGCGTAGTAGAAGCACTCGGCGTGAATAGCCATGAGCTTTCGCAGAAAGGTCTCGAGGACGCGGATGCGCTCCTTGATGATATAGACGCTGTCGCCATTGTAGACGCGGCGCGGAAACGGCATCTTCATGATGCTGCGCAGCATCGGCGTGAGCGGGTCGGCCTTCATCTTGAGCTCGCAGTGGACCCAGAGCGCGTCGAGCTGCTTCCGGAAGGCGTGGTACTCGGAGTAGCGCTTCTTGACGAGCCACCATCGGCGTGTGATGGGGCAGTAGGCGGTCATCGTGTAGAGCGTGTACATCATGGCATCTTCGACGACCTGGGTCGCGCACGGGTGCACCTGCGCTGACTCGAGGAAGGCGGCTTGGTCGTCCGAGAGGCCTTGCGGCACCGCCTCGTCCTTGCGCGATACGGCCCGGTGGAGGTGAATGAGCTGGTGCGCGAGGCAGCGCTGGACCGCGGCCGTGATGGCAGGCATGGCAAATCAGAAAATGACCAAAAACAGAAAACAAAGATATTTGCATTGCACGACCGGATACGGACCAAATTAAATTCCCAGAACCAGTACATGAAACCACTTGGTGCGGACAGCCTTTTGCACCAATCACATCACGTTCCGTGTCGTTGTCGACACGCATTGGCTACTTCAACTACGATTTCAGCCAATCCAAAAGGCTGATACCACCCACCTCGAAATTCGAAGCATCGCCATCGGACCAGACCCTTGTTCTGACAACCATGCTGCTTCTTTTGCACCAGCCTTGGCTTCGATCGCGACGCTGCGTCTTGCCCGCGGCCCTCTCCCCTTCGAAGCGACCTTCCACTGCTTGCCTTATATTGCCTAAGCTTCGATCTTATTTGCGCCCTCGCAAAGGCCGTGCAGTGTTCATCGCCTGAGCGCGCTTGCTGCGAGAGTGGAGCGATGATGGCGCGGTGGCGGCCGATCACGCGGGAGCTACTTGGGCGCAACTGATTCCGCGACGCTCAGATGGACGCCATGTACTATCTGAGCGAATTACGCGCGCCCAGCTGCCCCTGCGTTTCTTCAACGAGTTTGTTCTCGGTGGCATCTCGCAAGCAGACTTAGTAAAGTGCATCGTCGACGGTTGACGCATTATGCGATAAGGACGCCTGCGCTGGCGCCGGTGCGACAGACTGGACAGGTCGGCTTGCGGAGCAGCCAGTCAATGGCGCACGACGCATGGAACGCATGCTGGCATGGCGATAGCCGAAGCCATTGGCGACGGCGCCCGGCGAGGCAAATGGCACAGGCGGTCTCGTCGGTGCGCGCGAGCTGCGGCCCATGGAGCAGCTTGTGCAGGCGCAGCTCGAGAAAGCCATGGAGCAGGCGCAGGAGCTCCACGAACAGCGGCGACTTGGCTGCATGGACATGTCGCTGCAAGAGTGCGAGGTAGTGATGACGAAAGCGAAGCAGTTGCCCGACAAAGGACTTGAAGAGTCGCATGCGTTCACGAACGATCGACCGCGTGTCGCGGAAGTACCGCTTCGCCGGGAACGGGCCGTCGACGATCGGACTCAGCGCGGCCGCCCACGGCGCGCCAAACGCGCGGCGCTGGAGGTCGGCGAGCGCGTCGCGCAGTGCGAAGAAGTCCGAGTACCGCCGCTGGATGATGCGCCACTCGCGACTGACGAGGCAAGAGACGCTGATGTGGTAGAGCGTGTAGGTCGCGAGGCTCTTGCGGGTCTCGCGGGTCGCCGAGATGCGCACGCGGTAGGTCGCGGCGACGTCGGGCAGGCCCGTCGCCGGTGGCGACCGTTTGCCCCACAGTTGCATCGACCTCGTCGCGCAGTGCCAACTGCTGCGAAAACGCCTACGAAACGGGAGCCGCTGTATTCACATTGCACCAACGTCGGACAGATACAGTGGATGGATGCCAGTATGCGTTCGCAGCCGGATGATGATGATGCTTTCCCAGATCGAGATGATCGCCACGCTAGGATGATGATGGTGGGTGCAGGTGGTATGGACGCGCAACGATGCCAAGAAGCAGCCACCGCTCGTGCTGCTCTGGCTTAGCTCTCTGGCTTGACCAGATTTGGTCGTCGATCTGGTGCGATGACCTTTCCCGTTGCTGTGCTACATCTGCAATCGCTTGGCTACCTGCCCTGTGCGTGCGCGTCGCCACGTGCATCTCGTCGTTCTTCCGTGTGCCATTCTTGACGCCAACGGAGAAGCGAGAGAAGCAGGAGCTGTCGTCGAACCACCGAGAAGCCTGCAGCTCCTTTCGAATGCTACGTTTCAGTGGCCAGAACTCATGGCGATCGCACGGAAGGTGGCCAGCGCATGCTTCTACGTGTCCGTGCGTCTTGGCAGAGAGCTAGCACCGTGGCCAAGACACAGGCGGAGACTGTGTTCGGTGCGTGGAAGCGCCGACATCAAAGGCTCGCCGCTTGGCCTGCAGATGGACCTGCCATTGCCATTGTCGGCTGCTGCTGTTGCTACCGCAGCCACCTCTCGCTGCTGCTCTGTTGTCGTTTGTCATGGACGAGGTTGTGAGGGATTGTGCCAGAGCAGCAGGTGGGGCGAACTTAACGAGAATCGCACTTTGTAACATACAAAACGCCAGACTCATGGAAGGCGCACTTTAGTGGGACGCATTACTTGGATTCGTTCGAGGTATTCAGCGCGATGGAAGCAAGCTCGATGGGCCACGACCGGGGCAGCGTCGACGAGCTGTCGATGGACGTCGCCCGCGAAGGCTCGCAGCCCATGCACTACATGAAGCCGAGCATGGGTGGCCGGCCCAAGCCATGCGAGAAGCCGCCCAAGCAGCAAATGTCGATCGACGCGTACATCTACGACCGGCGCGTGCATGGGCCCCGGACCGCGATGCGCAACTCGTACCACGCCGGGAGGCTGGCGCTCGTTTCGACCCTCTCCTGCGCGCTGGGCATCGCCGCCCTCGCCGCGCTGCTCTCGCAGAGCTACATCATCAACCACTGGATCCCAGACAAGACAGGGACGACGGTCAGCGAGACGTGCAACGTGATCCTGCCCGTGCTCTCGTCCATCTCGGTGCTCAACCTGACGCTCGGCTTCCCGGGCATGGGCTTCCACATTGCGACGCTCTACTCGTACTTGCACCCAACGTCCAAGGTGGTGCTGCGCAGCAAGTACCTCTACTGGTGCGAGTCGCTCTTTCTCCTCCATGTCATTGGCGCCATCGGCTTTGCCGTCCTCCTCTTGTACTGGGGCATCCAGAACCGGTTCCAGATCACATGCATGACGAGCACGTGGGGCATGTCGGTCTGGCTTGGCAACGGCGTCCTCATGCTCGTGACGCTCGTGCAGTGGGTACGTGCCTCATCCTCATCGTCGCACATCTCATTCTCCGATCTAGGTCATCTTCGATCGCTTTCGGACGCACCAAAAGCTGCAGCTCGGGTCGCCCAACGAGCTCGAGCACGTCGGCAACTGGAAGTTTCGTCGCTGGCTCGCGAGCCTCATGGGCGCCAAGGCCAAGAAGAACAACGAGCTCCGCGCCGAGCTGTACGCAGCCGCCAAGCGCGGCAACCCCAACGAAGTGCACACGCTCCTCGAACAAGCGCGGCGCAGCTGTGCCACCGACGTCCGATCCTCCGCTGCGTCGTCTTGCTCGTACCAATCAGATCTCGTAGATGGAGCGCAACACGTTTCTGTGGAAGCTGTACGCGACGCCACGTATTGTGCTCGGTCTCTTCTCAACCCGCACCAAGAACCCACTGCACGTCGCCTGCGAGAAGGGCAACGTCGAGATCGTGCGCATCCTCCTCGACGCTGGCTTGCAGCCGGTAGCTCCATGCTCGACGAGGGACACATGCTCACGGCGGAGGCATAGGATTTTCTCGACAAGCTCGGTGGCGTCGACATGGGCATCGGGTCCATCTACCAGTGGCTCTGGGGCCGGCACAATAAGAGCAAGAGCGTCCTCGTGAGCGCGCTCCACGTTGCAGTCTCGCACGGCAACATGGCGTGCATCGACATCCTCCATGCGAGCGGTGCCAACATGGACATTCTTGCCAAAGCCGATATTTGGTCGTCGGTACGCTGATTTTCATTCATTTTGGGCTCGTTTTCACAAAATTTATGATTTTCGTGGTAGGAACTCGCCGTCCCGCCACTCTTTCACGCCGACTCGCGCGACTGCATGGAAGCGCTCCTTCAGTACGGCGCCAACCACCTCATGGTGCCGTCGTTTGGCTCGGCCATGTCGATCACGGTCCTCCAGCACAACCTGTTTCTCGTACCCTACCCCTACCGATCCCTTGGTTCTCATATGTAGACATAGGACCGCGGCGCCCTCGTCAGTCTCCTGGAAGAGTACGGCTGTGACGCGGCGCTCACTCCGCTGCATGCGGTCGCCGCGGCCGGTGACGTCGCATCGGTGCAGTACTACCTCAAGCGGGGGGTCTCACCAGACGCGCTCGGCGAGTACCACGTTGGCTTTCACCATCGAACACCACTGCACTGGGCCGCCATCATGGGCCGCACCCGCGTTGTGCAGTGCCTCCTCGAGCACGGCGCCGCGATCGACGTCAAGGACCGCAGCGGCCGCACCCCGTTGCACTGGGCCACACGGTACGCACGTTAGACACATATAAGTGCAGAGATGACACACGAGACGTAGCAACAGCCACGCAGGCGTCGTCGACGCGCTTCTAAGCGCGGGTGCCGACCCACACGCACCGGATATGGTGTACTTGACGCCGCTCTGCCTCGCGGCGCAGGCCGGCCTCTTGGACCGCGACACGATTGCGGCGTTCTTGGCGTACAGCGCCAACGAGGCGGCGGCCGACGTGCTCTCCAAGACCGAGTGCGGCGAGACTCCGCTACACTTTGCCCTGATGCGGGGGCACCAAGAGACAGCGCTCGCTCTCGTGGCGTCGGGCGCGGATATCTACGCGCTCAACTCGGACCGGCGCCGCGCGATCGACTGCTGCTCGTCGGCGCAATTGCAGTACGAAGTCAAGAAAGCGTCCGGGTATGCTCGATGGTGGCGACGACGACATATACCGATGGGGACGTAGGTCTGTGGACGTGTACCTCTCGTACGAGACGCCGTACCTGCCCTTTGCCGAGAAGATTCGAGATGCGATCGAGACGCACTGCATTTCGGTGCACTTGCGCGCGATCGACGACAAGGCCGACTTCACAAAGATCATGGACACGGTCAGTGTCGTCATGTGTCTTCTCTCCAAGGGATACAACCAAAGCAACCGCTGCATGCAAGAGCTCGCCTTTGCCAAGCAGCTCGACGTGCCCGGTACCATCGTGTACCATGGGATTTGTACCAAGTAAACTCCTTGCGTAGTCGTCGCCGTCAACTGCGACTGCCCAACGCTCTCGGAAGAGCTGCAAGTGTACCTCTACACGCGCCAGATCATTCCGTTCCAGCCGTGCATCCTCGAGGCCGAGCTCCACGATGGCTATGTGCACTTTGACGTCGACGAAGACCTTTTCGCCGAGCGGCTTCGATCGCTCCTCGACGGTCTCCGCGACGAAGTCGAATTGCACCGGCTCGGCGGCGGCCACCAGCAGCAGCACAAGGCGCGCGACATGCAGGGGCTCTTCCGGCTCACGTCGTTTACAGAGCTGGGGACGGCGTCGCCCGCGACCAAACCCTCGTCCAAATTGCGCCTCTCCAACTCGTCCATTTTATCGAAAGCGTCGTCGGTGCACTACACGCTCACGAGCTCCAACTCGTCGCGCAAGAACATTGGCCCGGGGCACACGATCTTCATTTCGCACGGCGACTGCCACGACGCCTTTGTCACGACCGTGCGTCATCGCTCCTCCTCTGTGTTCTTATTGTCGTGTGTAGCTCAAAACGCGGCTGCGGGACATGGGCGCCAGTGTCCTCGTCGACTCGGGCACCAAAGTGTCCAACATGAAGGAGCGCATCATCGCAGCCAAGGACGCGATCTTGCAGTGCCAGCTCTTCCTCGTCGTGCTCTCGGTCGAGAGTGTCAAGACGCAGCTCGTAAGCGATCAGCTCGCCTTTGCCGAAGACAAGGGCAAGCGCATCGTACCGATTTGCTACCACGACAACATCCCCGACCCCGATGGTCGACCAAGATCTGAGTGCTGTATACGACTCAGTTGTGTGTGTAGGCAAACTCGAGTTGTTCGAGAAGGACCGCGTGCTGGTGTTCGACGACGACCTCGGGTTCGAGCACGGCATGGACAGCTTGCACGAGATTCTCACTGACGTCCTCGAGACGGAAGAGAGCGACGAGGCGGACGAGGCCATGGACCGCGTCGACCAAGACGTCTAACACTCGCGAATAAGTTGGTGTATTACGAGGTGCGTCCGGCCATGAGGCCGAGCCGCTTTTGCATCTTGTCGCCGTCGCCGTACGCTCGTCGCAGCAGCGTCTCGAGCCGGATGCGCTCAATGCCGTGGAAGAAACCCCGAAAGCTCTCTTTGGTCTTGAGGTGGTGGAGGTTGGCCTTGTCCTTGCCTTGTAAGAGGACCACGAGACTCGCGTCGTCCAGGCTCTCGTACGTCGCGGCCTCGACAAGGAGCACATCGGCGGTTGGCGCGTCGGCTGGCCGCGCACCGGACACTGCGTCGGACTTGAGCGGCAATGCCTTGGTTGGTGACTTGGCCGGTGTCGGTGTCGGAGTTGCTACTGTTTTGGCTGGAGTCGTGACCGGTGTGACAACCGTTGATGGGACATCGAGAAACTTTGGCCCGGCGCTCGGACGGCGCTTGGGGGTTTTGCAGCGCTCTGTGACGGGTACGACAGCGACAGGCCCGTCCTCGGCGTGCAAGAGGCGGTTGGTCCACTCGTCGATCGCGTTGAGGCTGTCACCCACGTTGAAGTGCTGGAGCTTCCGCGCCGTGCGAAGCGGCAGGTGTCCGAGGTCCTCGTCGTCGTCATTCTCGTCCTTCTCGCTGTCACTGTCGCTCTGACTCGCGTCGAATATGTGCTTCTTGAACGACGGAATCGCTTGCGGCTCGATCCGTGGCGAGAGTGCTTGCAGCTCCAGCGTCCACTCCCTACGCATAGCATGAGCTCTATCCCAAGATGGTTATAGGTCCTACTCGTGCAGACCCGTGAATGTTGGCGGCGAGTCGTCCGGCGTTTGGTCGTCGAGCACGAGGATCTCGACCGCGTGGGGCTTGCTCACCGACTTGATGGGGCTGGATCGGCTGTGGCGGCGCGGCGCCGACTCGCCAAAGGCCTCTCGGACCGGCGTCCGACCGCCTGACGTGTGCGGCCGCGACGATGTCTTCTTGGCACTGCTGCGCTTGGACGGCGTCTCGGGCCGGCCGACCTGCGCCACCGACGTCTCGAGCTTCCACGCTTTGAGCTCGTGCAAGATCGAGTCGCGCGACTTAGAGCTGAGGCGCGACGTCAAGTCGAGCTCGCACGCGCGGTCGAGCGTCGCCGTGATGGACTCGCGCTGCAGCGGTGTGCTTGGTCGCGGCGGGAAGCTGCTCGCGGGCGTCGGCGGTCGCTGCGGGTCGTCCATGGCCGACGCATTGTTGTGGTAGTGCTCGTGGCTACGGCGTCGGAGTGCGCTCGTCACGTTGCCGGCAAACACAACGTCCGTGCCATGCGTGAGGTCGCTCGAGTGCTGGTCCTTGGCCGCGTCCTACGCACACCGTAGCTTCCTCGCTCTCTCATGGGAGCCATGTACGAGAAGCATGTCGAACGTCGACTTGGCGGCGCTTGGCGGCCGTGACGGCGACTCGGGCACGAGCTTCGTGCCGCCCTAAAGCTCATAAGTCGAGATTATGCGGGGATCGAACCCACGGCCGAGTGGTCGAAGCGAAGGGCGAGGTCGATAGTCGCCGACGTCACCTAGTGTCTAGTCAGGTGGAATGACCGAAGGATGGCTATTGCTACGGGCGTGCGGTCGGCAGCGGTGATGGGCTTGTCGTCGAGGGCCGTCAGGTGCGGAATGTAGCTGATGACGATCGCGCGGTACTGCGGAATGCTCGCCACCGGGTTCTCGACGAGCTTGAGCGCCGTGAGCTGGGGACATAACCCTGTGAAAAGCATGAGCCGCGCGCAGGATCGAAGCGGGTACCAAGCTGCTCGATCTGTACAATGTCCATAACGGCGTTGCCTTGCAGGTCTAAGCACATCGGTTGAGCGACGACTTGGGCGGCCACGTCGCCTACCCACGACCGACAGCTCGTCGTGCATGCTCAGCGGACTGATGTCGCTGATGCAGTTGCCGTTGAGGTACAGCTCGCGAAGGCCCGTGAGCGCGCCGATGCCATCGAGGTCGGTCACGCCGCAGCGCTCGAGCCAGAGCACCTGGAGGCTGTGCAGCGACGTGCCAAGGTCGCGGAAGCTATGCAGCTTGCTCTCGTGCAAGCGCAGCTGCAGTAGCGACGGCAAGAGCTCGCCGAGCGCCTCGACCGACTGTTTGCCCGTGTCAATGGAGAGCTGGAGAAACGTGACTTTGGTCAAGTCCGACTTGCCACTCAGTTGCCGCTACATACCGCTTCTTAGCCTTCTCGGTGGTACAAGGAACGTACGAGCTTATCGTGCGTAAGGTCGCCGAACGGGTTGTCCTCTTCGATCGAGCCGAGCGCGTCGGCGTACCGACTGAGCTTGACAGGACTTGCTGGCACGGGGTTGCACGCCTTTGGCATCGGCCGGATCATGAGCTTGGCCTTGGTGCGCAGCGGCGACGGCGCGGCCTCTTCGAGCTCTTCGCGGGCGTCGGAGGCGAGCAGCGTCGGCCCGTCCATGCCACGGAGCCAAGTATTTCGGGACTACTTTGTAATTTTAGCCCGGTCGTTGCAACCGCCGGCAAGCGGAAAGGCCAGACAACACCGAGAGCTTCGGTCGTCGGCAAGCGATAGTCTCGTAGCCAGCAGAGGTATTGGGCATCACTTGGCTGTAGTT